TCAGCCTCCCAAGTGTTGGGATTACAGGTGTATGCCACCACGTCCAGGTTGAGCCAGTTATTTTTTTAAAAGCAAGTTATAAAGGAGGTCAAATATACCTGAAAACTGATGCTAATTTCTATCCCGGCACTTGCTACATGGTGGGCCTTCAACACAGAGTGGTGTGTTAAAAGCAGCAGCACGGAGATTATATTTGGGATTCAGTCAGTCACCCAACATGTTATCCATGGAGCTGGGTCAGGGGTTGGCGTACTGATGGGCAGTGTTGGCAGCAGACCTCAAACTGTCCCCGCCCTGCAGCTTCACAGTAAGGAGCATGTCATAGAAGAAACAAGTCCTTTCTCGGTTCACCCCTTTATTCATTTATACACCAAGTGTATTGTGAACATTTTTGTTTTTTAGATATATCGGCTTAATGGCAGAGATGATACAAATCACACACAGATAAGAATCTTTTAACTGATCACTTTAGTTTACCAATGATTTGTTGTTATTTTTCTATTATGGTTATTATTATTGCTTTGTTTCTTTTTGAGACGGGGTCTCGCTGTATAGTTCAGGCTGGCCTTGAACTTGAGTTTATCCTCCTGCCTCAGCCTCCTAAATGCTGGGATTACAGGTGTGCTAGGATTACAGGAGTGCACCACCATGCCCAGCTCTCATTTTTATTTTAATGACAGGTTTCAATGACTGCTTTCCACCCATAAGTTTGTGTATAACCATTGCTGGTGAAAATATCGCTTTCACAGCTTAGTCCTCCCACAAACACGCACATGTCAAGCTTGCTGCTGTGACCATGGGAATATCCTCTGTTGCCGAGGGGCTGGAGGTCGTGACAATGCGTTCATCTAGCGAGTATTTTCAACTCCGATTCTGTGCCAGCGCCGTGACAGCAGTCAAGCTTTCCCACTCTCCCTCTTAAATACCCGATCCACCGAAGACACGCTGCTCTCCATCAGACCAGCTGGCCAGACAGACGCCGTCTTCCGAGCCGGACTCGGGGCTGAGCGGCAGAAGCTGGAGAAGCACAGCCCGAACCCCACTTCCTGCTACACGACAGGACGAGGCAGGGGGAGACAGCGAGGCCTCATGTGTGGGTGTCAAGGGTGCAGCTGTGGAGCTCAGCGACCGGTAGGTGACCCCGACTCTGTCCTTCCGGCTGTGAGAAGTGGGAGACTTACTCCATCTGGGCTTCAGCCTGCTCATTTCTTTCTCTTTTCTTTTCGAGATAGGGTCTCACTATGCAGCCCAGGCTGCCCTTGAACTCACTGCAATCCTCCTGCCTCAGCCTCCCTGGTGCTGAGATGACAGGCATGTGCCACCACACTTGGCTCGCATTTCTTACAGTGGGACAAATCTTAGTATATCCCACACAGTGTCACAGTGACAGTGTGGTGAGGTGTCACATGTCAAGAACAGGGGCCAGGGGTGGCATTTACTAACTCCTCAGCAAAGCACTGATTCAAAGGAAGAGTAACAGGAGGACCTGCCAAGACGACGGCAGCAGTCCCTGGACTCGCTCAGGCCAAGGGGTCGCTCAGCTGAATGACCTAACCTGCATGGGAGGGACAGGGCCTGGGAACCCCTCACATCCTTGTTAACAAAAAACCTGCTGCAATATTTGGTTGTTTAAAATACCTTTGAGACATATTAATCCATTTCACGTATTAAAATAAAACATGCTTTAACATATTTAAACACACCAAGCTTCTGTGGGATTTGGGGGTCGGATTATCCAGCATTGGTAACAGACTGCTACTATGGAAAAAAACGTTTCAGAAAGCGTGGCCAAGCACACAAGCAGCCCTAAATGTTTATTTAGCCACACGTATCTTGCTTCTTCCTCGGGAAGGAGCAGCACAGGGTTCGGAGGGGTCCCTGCCTGTGACAACCGCCCCCGTGGACCAGCGGTGCCCGCAGCTGGACCGGCGCTGGGGACCCCGCGACCCCGCAGGGCTCTACTCACGATGGCCACGGGGTCGTTGCTGCGGGTGGCGGCCAGGCTGAACTTCTTCACGTGCGTGTTGGTCTCCAGCGCCTTCGCGAAGTCCTTCAGCGTCGGGATGGGAATGTTCTGCAGCACAGAGGACTCCGGGTTATCCACAGTGACTTTCTGCGGCACTCGCACCCAAGCCAAGGACCTGGACCGAGCGTGTGCGTGTGCCTGCCTCGTGCGTGCTGAGCACACGCGCTTCCACTGAGCCGCGCCCCGAGCCCCGCGACAACTTTGGAAGCTCAGCTGTGTCTCCGTGGCTAAGGACACACAACTCCTGGGGAGATTCAGGACTCAGCCCTGCAGCCGCGCTATCCTGGGCAACAGCGCCGCTTGGTGTCCAACAGGGGAACTGAACACAGAGGCGCACCCTGGTTTCCCTACCCCAGAAACGCACGCGCACCCACGCACGCGCACCCACGCACGCACACAGGCACACAAATGTGTGCACGCTGCTTCAGTCTCTTTTCTCCTCCATTCTCTAGACTCTAGCCAGGCTGGCCTACCTGCCATTCCTTTACTTCCCGAGCGTGTGCGTGGTCCGTCTCCTCCACACCCTTAGACAGGCTTCTCCTCCTGCCTGGAAATTCCTCCAGCCCTTTCCCCAGCTCAGCCCTCCCCATCGCTCACGGCCCAGCAGAAGTCTCACTCCGCTGCCTGTGGGCTGCCGCAGGCAGCACTCAGATTTCCTCCCTACAGCTCCACGGCGTTCAGCCCCGCTGCCTCCGGGTGCGATGGTCTGCTCGGCGCTTTTCTCCTAATGTAAGTGCTTAAAGGCTGAGCGGACCTTCCTTGGTTCTGTGTTTAGGGAACACAGCTCAGTGCGGGCCGCGGGAGGGAGGCGACGTGGGCACGGCCGGGGGCACAGGAGTGCTGGCCACACCACGGACTTGCCGTGTGACCCGGCCACTTAACGTCTTTCCGCCTTTCCTGAGGATCAGTGGGGTAATGGATTCGAAGTGTGTGGCGAGGGCTACGGCACGTCCCGCTACTCAGTGAAAGTCTCACAGGATGCTAGGAATTTGCCCCAGAGAATGAACAGAACAAACCTGGGAGATGTTTGTGTCCACGCATGCACACGCGCATGCACACACACACACTCGTCCCCTTCCTCTGAGAGCGGTGTGACCGTGCTCGCTCGCCGAAACGAGTGACAACCTCAGATTGGGAGACCAGGACGCAAGGGGCACAGGCGCCCTGCGTGGCCTCCCTGCCACGCCCGGCTCACCTCCTGCGGGAAGGACGCTGGGCAGCCCACGGAGAGGATGCTGTGGGCACGCCCAGGGCCAGGGCTGACAGCCACCCAGCGCCGTCGTGGTGGGGGCCCTCCGGCCCGGCCTGGCCTGCGAGGACCTTAACCCTGACAGCCTCTCTCCTGTGGCCCCGAACGACTCTGAAGCCACTCACTTTCCAACGCTGCGTGAAATAACGCTGCCTCTGAGTGTCAGAGTCATTTCTTTTCAGAATGTTCTGGAAACTGCCCTTTTAAAAGTCTAACCAGGACATGGCGCCTCGAGATCCGTGACTACAAAGGGCTTCAAGAGGTGCCACAGCAGGTGGCGCAGGGGGCCCAGCGGGCGCCGCGGGGTACCTTGATGTTGTTGAGGTTCACTTCCTCCAGGCCGGGGTCGTTGGCCTTCATCTGCTGCAGACTGACCTCCACGTTGGTGGGGTTGGGAGGGTCCTCAAACACCGGCTTGACCTTCTCCCCTTTCACCACGTCTGCAACACAAATTTACCTTTCACAGTGAGATGCAAGGGCTCACGATGGAGAGCGCACGTACCCCCAAGCGAGAATCATTTCCAGGGCTCCGATCCCAGTAATGCTCTAGGCACACTGAGCTTATCCTCCGTCAAGCAGGCACAGCCGTGGGAGAGTACTGAGTTACAGTTTGTGATCTTTCGAGATAGGGTCTCACTATGTAGTTCAGGTTGGCCTCTAACTCACTAGGGAGCCCTTGCTGGCCTTAAACTAGCAGTGATCCTCCTGCTTCAGCCTCCTGAGTGCCGGGATCACAGCTGCACACCATCATACCTAGCTCCAATTTCCCAAGTGTTAACGCACCTCCAGCTTCTTGAGCAAACCCTGGCCTCCTCTGATTTCATTCTGAGGAAGTGATGGAAAAGAAGGGATGTTGTCTCAAAACCAATCTGACAGAAAATGTGTGGAGTATAAAACACACAGTGGGTGATAACCTGATACACACTGCAACTCAATAACACAATTAAAAATAGACAATGCATTGGAGAAGACTTGGCTGCTTCCCTAAATCTATAAGGAATTAAGCTCCAAAATGGAAAATGAGACACTATTTCATTAGCAAGAAAATGTGAAAGAGATGACACAGCTAGCAACAATGTCGGGAGAGGGATCTTCATGTATCATTGGTGGGGCGGTAAACTGATGAAAGCTTTTGGGGAGAGTAATTCTTTTTTTTGAGACAGGGTCTCCCTGGGAAGTCCAGGCTGGCCTTGAACTCACTGTAACCTTCCTGCCTCAGCCTCCTGAGTGCTGGGATTACACTGGCTACCACACACAGCAGTAATTTGGTATTATCGATAAACACTTTAAATGTGCTATCTGACCCACCAAGTCTACATCTAGAAGTGTATCCTACAGAAGAAACAGGCTGACTACATAAAAAGATGCCCTCAGGATATTTCCTGTTGTGTTACTCCTGACAGCAAAACACGACACACAAACCTTCAGCAATGGGAAAACGGCTACATTCTCACAATCATGGAACAAGACACTACCCAGTCATTAGGAGAATGAAGGAAACAGATACTGAAAGAGGTCACAGCTTGGAAAGAGGCCAGCGATATAATCACAAATACACTGCTGAGACAAGAAGGCACCTCCGAGTCTCTCTGAGAGAATAAAATAGAATTAGCCTGTGAGGGCTGATCATGCTGTATTTAAACTTAAAGTTTATGGTAGTAAAAGACACATTGCGGTGGATCCCCTCCAAGCCCTCCCCCTTGCTGCGCAGACACTCATCCCATGGTCCCTGCCATTTCTCAAGCAGCTCTGGAGTTTTTCCTGGTGTCTTTACCAGGCGGATCAAATGTCCAGTGAATGCAGCTGCATGTGCTGTTCAAGAGAAAGGCAGCTCGTAGACACGGGCGGCGTGCCCTCACCCACCTTACTCACTGGATCTGGCACCAGGAGACTCTGGCTCTCCCCTAAAGTCACAGGCCAGGGATACAGCTCAGTGGCATAAGTGCCTGCCTGGCAAGCGCAAGGTCCTGAGTTCGATTCCCAGTACAAAAAAAAAAAAAAAACAAAAAAACATTAAAAAAACCCCAAAGTCACAATGATCGTGAAGGGGAAACGTTTTGAATTCACTCAGGATGCCGAGGCAGCCAGGACAGCACCACTAAAGACACTCAGGAGAGAGGACTCCAGAGCTGCTGCAGGAAGCGGAGAGGACCATGGGAGGGGTGTGCTCGAAGCGAGGGGGCGGGGAGGAGGGGACTCACGGCAATGTGTTTTTCACTGTAATAAATTCTGAAAACGTAAACATTCGTCCTCCTCTTCGATCACACCTCATGAGAGGACCTACGATGATCTCCTGTGAGTTTCCCCAGCCCTGGGTCAGCACGTGCTAAGACTCCTGAGGAAAGGTCCACGCCTACCTGGACAGGTGAGTTCCTCTCGGCAGGACTCGCCTCTGTACCTAAGCCGGGAACACTCCTGACACACAGCAGGGCCTCAGCAGATGACAGGAGTGAACGAGAGTCTACCTAAGTGGAACGTCTCCAAGACACTGAAATGCCAGACAGCGGATCACACTCCGCGCCGGGAGGTCGGGCTCGGGTCCTTCACGCCCCCTGGGTTAGGGGAGGACAAGCACGCCAGTGAGACAAGGAGACCCTTGTCCATCCAGGGAAGGGGCTTCGGCAGCTGCCACCCCTAAGCTCCATCTTGGGAACTGCCCACTTTGTTTGCATTTGGTGCTGACCAGGCACCCTTTTAATCAGCAATTTGTGCTTCTGGCTGAAGAGACCAGCCAAGAACATGTGTTCTGGGCAAAACACACCGGCGCTTGCACAGTGCCAGAGGGACCAGCTTCTCCCCACCATGCCTTCGGCTCGGAGCGGGAAGAACCTGCGAGAGGGTGGAGCCCAGGCCCGCAGCAACTTACTCCGCACAGGCCCCTTGCCGCCTTTGCCGTTGGTTGTTTCTTCATCAAACTTGGGATTGTTGAGCAAATTGTGCACTCCAAGGACGGCTGAGGACAAAGCATTGGGAAGGAGCATTAGGCGTACGTTCAGGCTGCTCCCTCGCCCCCGAAGGACAGCTGTCTGTGTGGGGTCCAGGCCTGGGGCCCTTCTCACACAGTGGGGCTTGTTGATGACTCCTTCCCGGACTGCCAGCGCACCGCACGGCTTTGTGTGGGAGCGCAGGGAATCCCTTAGGGCCCAGGAAACAGTGGTCTAGTTCTGTCCCCCACGGCCTAAAACTTCCCAGACCCAAGGCTGGGGATCTAGCTCAGCGGCACAAGTGCCTGCCTGGCAAGTGCAAGGTCCTGTGTTCGATTCCCAGCACCAAAAACAAAACAAAACAAAACAAAACAAAAAAAACTTCCCAGACCCTACATAGGGAGACTGCAGTTTTCTTTTCTGTAAAACAAGTCAAAGTGGTTTTTTACCTCAAACTTTTTTATTTTTATCAGTCCATGCCTGCAGTACGTAAGGATCACACGCCTCTGGGGAGCTGGTCCATGCACATGATACACTAACTCTGTTCCCACGCCTGGCCCTTCTCCCCCACCCCCCGCCTTCTGTCCCCTGGCCCCCTTCCCACCTGCAAAAGCTCTACCTCCCTACTTCCTACCGTCCACTTTTTTTTTTGTACCGGGAATTGAACTCATGACCTCAGGCTTGCCAGGCAAGCGCTTATGCGGCTGAGCTATATCCCCGACCCTTGTCCATCTTTTATTTTGCGCTTTTATTTATTTACAGTTTGGGTTGCTCATCTAAGAGAAACCATGTGATGTCTAAGCTCGTGCGTCTCTGATTTGTTTCCGTAGCATTATGGTCTCAGGGTGCATCCCTCTTCCTATAAGTGAGTCAAAAGTTTTTCTTTTTTTTTTTTGTCTTTCTAAGACAGGGTTGTGCTATACAGTTCAGGCTGGCCTTGAGCTCACTTTGTAGCTCAGGCTGGCCTCGAACTTGCAACGATCCTCCTGCCTCAGCCTCCCGAGTGCTGGGATTACAGGGGTGTGCCCGGCATAGTCAAAAGGCTTTAAGACTGAACATATAGATGATTGCACATAATCTTTTCAGAGGCAAAATCAGAACAACCGTGGTCCTTTTTCACGTAAACCTCCCGTCTGTCTCTCAGTACTAAAAGGCTTTGTCCTGTCCCGACCCTCAGCGTTCCAGAGGGCGAACAGAGCAGGGATGGCTGACCCATGGGGATGCTAGTGTCTTGTGATACCTGGAGCTCGCACCAGGGGGCAGCACAGTGCAATGCAGGCAGTGTGTTGGGGCGGGGGCAGGTGGCCCTTAACTGGGGATGTCTCCAATGTGAACCAGAGAAGCCCTGAGACCATCGGCTCCACCCAGGCTGTGAGCTCCAGGCCAACCGGAAGGGGAGTGGCCAATTGGGACCAGCCAGGCCAGAGAGGCAGCCAGAGTCCGAACCCTGATGAGCCATCATGTCACCTAGGAAGTCACCACGCACCTGTGGGACCTCGGTCCTCCTTTATAAAAGGGGGATGCTAATCCCGCTTTACCTATTCAGAGAGTGAACGAGCTCCTCCTGCGTGTCAGCCGCTCCTGAATGAGCTTTACACCTTGCTAAGTGACTAAGAATTTGTCACTATGTCTCTGGCACTGTGTATTGAGAAAGTCTCCCCCTGCTCCTCTCTCTGGTACTAGGGCTTGAACCCAGGGGCACTGAGCAATGTGTTCAGCCCATCTTATTTTTAATTTTTTTTTTTTTTTTTTTTTTGCCGGTACCGGGAACAGAACTCACGACCTTGCACTTGCCAGGCAGGCGCCTTTTTATTCCAGTTTTGCTAAGTTGTCCAGGCT